TTCACAATTTATAAATGGCAGCGTGGCTTTAGTATTTATGAATCGAGATCAGTGCTTTTTACGCACTCAAACGCTCACCTTTACCTGGTTCAAATGCATCCTGCGGGGGCTGGCTTTAGCAAGGAGCACGATCCCCTCCTTGCAAGCCTGGAGCTGAAGACTCAGCCAGGGGGCCAAGAGGAGCTTTGGGCGGGTCCGCAAGGATCGGGGAGAACTGGATGAGCGAGAGGAAGAAGGAGCAACTGCAGGCGCCGCGGGAAAGACGCAAGCTCTGAAGCTGCACACAGCCAGAGTGGCTTTAGGGTCAGGCTGCATCTCTCCCCTCTCCTGCGGACGGAAGCCTGGGTTGCTGCAGGGTGATGTACCCAGGTATTCTTCAGTGTCCCAGAAATGAGATGAGGCGTTCTCTTTTTGTAGGAAAAAAACCCAAACGGAAACCCGCGCCAACCCTACATTTTGATCCTGAGGGAATAGGGCGTGATGTTATAAATCACTACCCCCCCCGCCCCCGCTTGGGTCTCGCGTTGCTGATGTTGGTTAGGAACTAAAGGGCCACATTGTTACTTCTAGACGTATCCAGGGCAGGCTGTACCTCTGGGAAAAGGCAAATTCGGGGACATTGCAGGGTGGAGCAATGCTATTTTTGCTGTTGTTGTATTATTGAAAAGCTTCCTGTTTCCTCCCAGCCCACCCCCTTGGGCCAAGGAATGGTGTCTCAGCGAGAAAGGAAGGGAGAGAGGTGAGCATCCAGGCTAGATGGCCAAGCAGCACCTTGGCTCAGCTTGGTGCTAGAATAAGGGTCTCCTGCCCATGTGCAGAGTGCTTTTCCTTTACAATTATCCTTCGCCTGTTTTGAACTATCAGGGGACATGTCCAGTGATGCAAACAGGATTCAGGAACAAGGAACACGGTTATTACTCTTCCCCTGAATCCACCGCCCATTTTCTTCACTTGTGAGGACCCCGGATGCTTACGCAGTTCCATGTCATCCATGCAGCAACCCTGCGGAGCAGGAAGGGCTGAGAGTTTGTGACTGGTCCAAAGTCACCCAGTGAGCTTTCGGGTCAAGCGAGGACCAGAGTCCCAGACCCAGGGGACTCCAACTCTTGAACCACACCGGGGCTCGTTAGACCCTGGCGAATGATCCATGGATTGCTCGGGCACTCCGGTTGCGCCTACTGACCAGAGGAAGCCCTGGCTCTCAAGCCCTCGCCAGCCGAGCTTTCCTCCGGCTCCCAAACCAGGAGGACCAGAAACTTGAGCGTGCGCTTGCAAGAGCCCACGAGAGCTGGGAACGGCGTACGCGTGGAGGCAGGCGGGCGGGCGGGCGGGCGAGCGCACGCGCGTCTTCTGGAGACAGGCGACGTCATGGTGACTTGTTTCATGGGAGCTACCTGAAAGCAGCGTTGCATGCCGTAAACTTCTGACAGGCTGCAGGGAAGCCTGCGGCCCTCCGCCAAGGTGTACAAGGCTGGGGGGAAGTTAAGGGCAGGTGGGTAATTGCGCATCTATTCCCCGGGGCCCGAGAAGCTCCCAGAAGTCCCTGCTTTGGGAGTGCCTCGCCTCGTCACGCAGCCTGGATCGGGGCCCGGGTCCTCAGCTCCCTGGCAGCCCAAGGCGCTCGCGCCTGCAGGACGTTCATGCGCAACCCCGGGGGGCGCGGAACACCCACCGCACCTTGCGGATAGCGCCGCTCACCGTGCGCCCTCCGCACTCGCGCCCCGGGAAAGCGGGGACGGGCACGCCAGATTCCCCAGCTGGGGGCCAGCCCCGCTGCGCTCAACGGGGCTTCCGTGGAAGGAAGCACGCGAGGCTCCCACTCAGGCGAGGCGAGGCAAGGCGAGGCGGCGCAAGATCGGCTCTCCCAAAGCGCGCAAAGCCGGCGCCACCTCGTCGGCTGTTCCGCGGCCAGCAGCAGCCCCCATTGGCGAGAGGGGGCGCCTTGGGAGCCCGCGGCGGGGGATCCACCGGCGCGGGGGCGCAGCTCGGCCCGCCCGCCACGGCGCTCGCCTGGCTGCGTCGATCTCATCAATGACACCGGGGCCTCGGGGAGTCCGGCCCCGCCCCGGCAGCCCGGCGCCCCCTTCTCATTGGAGGCAGGCCCGGGGGGGCAGGCCCCTTTCCCCCGGCCGCGATTGGCTGGCGCGCAGTCAGTATCAATGTTTAAGCGGCGGCGTGGGGGACTCCAGTCAGTCGGCGAGGGGCAGCGAGCGAGCGAGAGCGAGCGAGCGAGAGGGGGAGCGGGCCGCCGCGCCAGCCCTGGCAGCTGCAGAGGGAGGGCGAGGCGCTGCCGCCCTCGCCAACTGTTGCGGCTCCCCCGCGCTCTCGGCCGGCGCCCGCGGCGCTCCACCGGGGGATACCGCCTGCGCCGCGCGCCGCCGCTCCGTTGGGAAGCCCTGAGCGCCCGCGGGAACGAGGGCGAGGATCGTGGCCTTGAGAGAAATAAATAAAAAAAAGGGGACCGCCGAGAGATGTAGGATGCGCTCCTGGCGCGCGGAGCTCCGGACTTGGCTTTTTTAATGTTTTAAGAGAACGGCCGGGCAGCTGCCTTAGACGTGCCTCCGAGGCAGGGCCGAAACTTCCCCGACCGGCGCCGCGCGCGCGCCCCCCCCCCCCCCCCCCCGCGGCATCCCTCCTCCCCTCGCTCTGACCGCCGGCGGCTTCCCGTGTAGCGCTCAGGAGAGGGACCACCGATCGACTCCGGTCAAGCCGCTTCTGGGCGTTCCGGCGGGATCGTCGGAAAGGGGCGCAGTGAAAGTGACTCGGGGGCGAGCCTTCCCCGGCTCCGACTCCGCCTCCCTCCCCGTGCGGATTAAAAAATAAATAAAGAGCAGCGCTTTTCTCCACCGCTCGAGGCGTCTGATGTTCTAAAGACGCGTTTTCCGCTCTGCCCCCCCGCTCCGTGCCAGCTACGTGCGCGCGCGCCTCGGGAGCCGGGAAGCTGCAGCCCTCGCCCGCCGCGGGAGCGACACGAGGCGCGGGGGACGGCTGGCGTCGGCGTGTCCTCGCTCGCTCCGCTCTCTCCGATTCGCTTGGCGCACCTGCGATTTTGGCTGCGGCTCCCTTGGAGGATGGCCGAGGTCGAGGCGCGTTCCTGAGAACCTGAAAGCCAGCCGAGCCTCCACAGTGAAGGAGAAGGCGCGCGCTCGCGCGGGCGCGTGTGGCTTTGGATTTCGAGCCTCCAACAAGTGGCAATAAATCGTGCCTCCCCCCCCCCCCCCCCCCCAGATACCTCCCCTCCGAAAAAAGAAATAAAAAAAAATCCCGTCTTGCAGACCCGCCGCGTATCAGGGCGCACTAACCTGCCGCAGCCGCATTATTTGTCTGGCGCTTTGCAGAGCCTAAACCGAGTCCGTGCTCGCCGTAAGCGCAGCCAGCCCCGGCCGGATTGGGAGAGGCTGCAGCCCGGGCTGGGCGCGACTCGCGGCGAGGAGGACCAAAGTGGCCTTTGCGGCGGGAAGGCCCCGAGGAGGGGACGGCGAGCGGCTGGTCCGCTTCTAGGGAGCGCCAGGGTGCGTGCGCGGAGGCGAGCGAGCGGCGATGCCTCCCGCCCGCCCGCCCCACCTCTCCCCCCGCCCGCCCGCCCTTTTTAATCTATGCGCCCAGCCATGAGTCGCCTGTTGATTTTCTCTTGACGGGCAAGACGGAGAGGCAGCGAGAGGAGGAGGAGGAGGAGGAGGGCGGGCGAGCGGGAGGAAAGCCAGCAAACTGAAATTAAACTGCATCGAGCAAAAAGTGCAAAGCTCCTCCAGACACGCGCCGAGGCAGCCGCGGGAGGCGGCGATGTGGCCGTGGCGGCGGCGGCGGCGCCAGAAGCAGCAGAGGCGGAGGCGGCGGCGGCTCCCACTCCCCGGCGCAGCACGCCCAGCGCGCTTCTGACGGGCTGGCGGCTCTTCATCCGCCCCCTCCCTCGCTTTCTCCAAAGACCCTCGGCACCCCCGGCAGAGGAGGAGAAGGAGGAGGCTCGGCTTCGGAGGACGCTCCGCGATCGCCCCCCCGCCTTAATTCTGCTCCAGAAGAACCAGGAAGGAAATCCGGTGTGCAGGAACTACAAATCCAAGGGGAGTTCGCTATTTTAAATTTTGGACACGGCCGCGTTCCTCCTCTCCGACTCTTATTTTGGGCACCGTAGGAAGCGGCAGAGCGCGCCTCCGTCTCGGCGAGAGCAGCAGGCAGGGCGATTGCGCGATGGCAGGCGGAGAGATGCGGCGCTCCGCAGCCGCCGGGCAGGCGAGATTGTATCTCTAAATGCAGCAAAAGGCTTGCCGGAGAAGGAGTCCCCGCGAGCCGGCGGAGCGAGCAGACCGCGCTTTCCACAGCCCCCCCGCCCAGCCCCCCGGTTGCAGCCGCCAAGACTTGACCGAGTGACTCCGGGGCCCTCGCCCCGCCGCGCCCGGGCCGCCCCAGCACGCCCGAGCCGGCTGCAAGTCGCTTTGGATCGGGACGCCGCTTGCCTGCAAGCGCACACGTACAAACTCTTTCTCGGTGCCCCTTTCTCTGGGCGGAATTCATCGCCGCCCTCGCGCCCGCGCGCGCGCGCCCGCTGCCCGCGCGCGCGCCCGTGCCTGCGTGCGAGAGGTTTGGAATCCCTGTATTTGCGGATATTTCTGGTTCTGGTCCCCTCCAGAAAGCGCTGGCGTGGCGCTCGCTCAGCCCTCCTCCTCCTCCGCGAAGTTGCACAGAGCGAGAAGGGAGCCGCCGCCGCAGGAGAGGACGAGGAGGCGGAAGGGAAGGGCGCGGGGGCGCGGAGAAGCGCCTCGGACTGGCCGCCGGCGCCCGGGGCGCCCCTCTTCCCCGCGCCGGCCCCCTCCATGGTGGCGCCCGGGCTCTGCAGAGCTTTCCGAGCAACAGGTCTTGAAACTTGAGGAGGCTCGGCGAAGACGGCGCGGAGGGCCGGGCAGGGCGCGTGTGGACGGCGCCGGGGCCGAAGGCGGCGGAGGCAGGCGGGCAGGACTGCGGGCAGGCGGCCGCGCCGGGCGGGCTTGGCGCCGTCCACTGGGATGTACCTTTCCGCCTGGTGCTTCGTGCTGTGCTGGGCGCCTGCCCTGACGCTGAAGAACCTGAACTACTCGGTGCCCGAGGAGCAGGGCGCCGGCACGGTGATCGGCAACATCGGCCGCGATGCCCGGCTGCAGCCCGGGCTGCCGTCGGTGGAGCGCCCCCGTGGCGGCGCCAAGTCCACCTTCCGCGTCCTGGAGAACTCGGCGCCGCACCTGCTAGACGTGGACGCCGACAGCGGCTTGCTCTACACCAAGCAGCGCCTGGACCGCGAAGCGCTGTGTCGCCGCAGCGCCAAGTGCCAGCTCTCGCTGGAGGTCTTCGCCAATGACCAGGAGATCTGCATGATCAAGGTGGAGATCCAGGACTTGAACGACAACGCGCCCGCCTTCCCGGCCGACCAGGTGGACCTGGACATCTCCGAGAACGCCGCGCCCGGCACGCGCTTCCCGCTGGCCAGCGCGCACGACCCGGACGCTGGCGAGAACGGGCTGCGCACCTACCTGCTCACGCGCGACGACTACGGCCTCTTCGCGCTCGACGTGAAGGCGCGCGGCGACGGCACCAAGTTCCCCGAGCTGGTGGTGCAGAAGCCGCTGGACCGCGAGGAGCAGAGCCACCACGCGCTGGTGCTGACGGCGCTGGACGGCGGCGACCCGCCGCGCTCGGGCACGGTGCAGCTGAACGTGCGCCTCATTGACTCCAACGACAACAGCCCCGTCTTCGAGGCCGCCTCCTACGTGGTGGAGCTGCTGGAGAATGCGCCCCTGGGCACGACGGTCATCGACCTCAACGCCACCGACGCCGACGAGGGCACCAACGGGGAGGTGCTCTACTCCTTCAGCGGCTACACGCCCGAGCGGGTGCGTGAGCTCTTCAGCATCGACCCACAGACGGGCCTGATCCGGGTGAAGGGCAACCTGGACTACGAGGAGGGCGCGCTCATTGAGATCGACGTCCAGGCCCGTGACCTGGGGCCCAACCCCATCCCCGCCCACTGCAAGGTCACAGTGCGCCTGGTGGACCAGAACGACAACGCGCCCTCCATTGGCTTTGTCTCCGTGCGCCAGGGGGCCCTGAGCGAGGCTGCCCCTCCGGGCACCGTCATTGCCCTGGTGCGGGTGACCGACAGGGACTCGGGCAAGAACGGGCAGCTGCAGTGCCGGGTGCAGGGGGACAGCAGCGGCGGGGATGGAGCGGTGCCCTTCACCCTGGAGGAGAACTACGACAACCTGTACACGGTCGTGACAGACCGGCCCCTGGACAGGGAGGTGCAGGACGAGTACAATGTCACCATCCTGGCCAGAGACGGGGGCGTGCCCCCACGCAACTCCACCAAGTCCTTCACGGTGAAGGTCCTGGATGAGAACGACAACCCGCCCCGCTTCAGCAAGAGCCTCTACGTGCTCCAGGTGCCCGAGAACAACATCCCAGGCGAGTACCTGGGCTCTGTGCTGGCCAAGGACCCTGACCTGGGCCAGAACGGCACGGTGTCCTACTCCATTCTGCCTGGCCACGTGGGCGATGTCTCCATCTACACCTACGTCTCTGTCAACCCCACCAACGGGGCCATCTATGCCCTGCGCAGCTTCAATTACGAACAGACCAAGCACTTTGAGTTCCACGTGCTGGCCAAGGACTCTGGCTCCCCGCACCGGGAGAGTAACGCCACCGTCCGCGTCACCGTGCTCGACGTCAACGACAATGCCCCCCTCATCGTGCTGCCAGCCCTGATCAACGACACGGCCGAGCTCCAGGTGCCCCGCAACGCTGGCGTGGGCTACCCCGTGGGCACTGTCCGTGCCTTGGATAGCGATTTTGGGGAGAGTGGGCGCCTCACCTACGAGATCGTGGAGGGCAATGAGGAGCACCTCTTTGAGATGGACCCTACGAGTGGTGAGATCCGCACCTTGCATCCCTACTGGGAGGAGCTGAGCCCCGTGGCCGAGCTGGTGGTGAAGGTCAGCGACCACGGGAAGCCCAGCCTGTCGGCCGTGGCCAAGCTGATCGTCCGCTCCTCGGCTGGGCCCCTGCCGGAAGCAGGCGAGCCCCAGGTGAATGGCGAGCAGCACCGGCGGCCGCACTGGGACCTGTCCCTCCCCCTGATTGTCACCCTGAGCACTGTCTCCATCATCCTGCTGGCCGCCATGATCACCATCGCCGTGAAGTGCAAGCGCGAGAACAAGGAGATCCGCACCTACAACTGCCGCATCGCTGAGTACAGCCACCCCCAGCTGGGGGGTGGGGGCGGCGGCGGAGGTGGGGGTGGGGGCGGCGGCGGAGGGGGCAAGGGCAAGAAGAAGAAGATCAGCAAGAACGACATCATGCTGGTGCCCAGCGAAGGGGAGGACAGCCGGGGACCCCTCAACGTCATGAACGTGGTGAGCAGCCCTTCCTTGGCCACCTCGCCCATGTATTTTGACTACCAGACGCGCCTGCCCCTTAGCTCCCCCCGGTCCGAGGTGATGTACCTGAAACCTGCCTCCAACAACCTGACTGTGCCGCAGGGACATGTGGGATGCCACACCAGCTTCACAGGCCAAGGGACTAACGTCACCGAGGCTCCCCCGAGCCGGATGTCCATTATACAGGTAGGATGCTTTTAGAAACCCCTGGGACTCTCTGGCTGCTACGTTGCGTTGTGGGTCTGCAGCGGATCCTGCTTTGCAGCGATCCTTCCAGGCACCCTTAAGGCTGAGTCGGTTCAGGGGTCCGGTCCACCTGGTGTAGGCCTGGGTTTTGTGCCAGTGGGCAAATTAGGAGTAGCTCAATTAAACCATGTACACGAAGTAGCGTCACAGCACTGTGAAGCTGGTGCACAGTTGATAAGGTGTACAGCAAATGTTTATTGGCCTTTTGGGGACTGGAAATGGGTGTCTTCTTCTGCAGTTTTCGCTGTAATGTTCCTTGGGGGCACATGGGCGGGGAAGGGGCAAAGGAAGTCCAGCACTTGCACCTAAGTGAGATGGTAGATACTCCTGGTCATCTTAATGAAACAATATATGGGGTTTTAATGGTTTTAACTGAGGATATCTGCAGGTGTAGTGTATGTTGATCTCCACTGGTGTTTGTCAAAATGGGATCTTATTTGCAAAATGTATGCTTTTAAATTTTAGAAAGCCCTATTCAAATGTATAAATAGACATACACATACAAATCCTTCTGGAGCAATGCCCCCTTGAGACTGCACTGATCGTGCCAGAATGGCTAACAAAATGAAACTCCCCCCGCGCTTAGATTTGTTAGATTATGGTATGGCCACAGTCCAACCAAACACTTCAAAGATGTAAGCAAGTGCGTAAGCCTTTCATTGAAGCCAGTGGGATTTCAGTGTGCTTAACAGAGACTGGGTTGAATTCAGTTCTTTTCTCATTTCTTTTAGGGGATTCAGTAAATGCATCAATAAAAGAGAACGCATATTGTGTTTTCAGTTAGCCAAGCCATCTTTCTGGTTGGCCTGAAAAATTATTATTATTTTTTGTTTCTTTTTTTTAAGTAGGCATTTGAGAGCAGCTGATCAAGTGAGGACTTGCATGTGTCAAGTCATCTCAGACATAAGGATTTCAGCAGGGTCTGTTCAGCTAGGCAGATGTGACTTGCCCGTCTTACAGCGTCCACGTGGGGAAGAATCTGGAGATGCACATGGATGTGGCAACTAGTGCCTTTCCAGGGTTTCAAAACAATTTCAAAAATCATGCTGCAAATAATCTGCGGGCCGCATTGTGCCTTGACCGCAACCGACGGCTGAAATCGGGAGAATGGTCTTCACTTATCCAAACCAGCCACTTCTAAATCCTGTAGTGGCAATCTGAGTAGATACCTGGCATTCTCATTGAGATGAATTTTAATCATTTTAATCATGCTGCATTTTAACAGAGCTTTTACTTGCAAATGAAGGTGGAATTCTGCCTTTTTAGCTAGATTGGCTTTTAGTCTTTTTCAAGTAAATCGATTATTTTATTTTGTGGGGAAAGTACTTGGTTTGGAATAAAACTGAAGTTACCTCTCAGGGCCTGGGCATTTTCAAACAGAGCATTTAGTCTTTACAGTGCTTCTCTAGACTAAATGGGCTCTAGATGCTTGCTTTCCGGGCTAATCTACATCCCATAACAAAAGTCAGTGGACTGGTTCCCCAAAATCAGCAGGGGGTTTAAAGGTGGGGCTGTTGAGGACTGGTCCTCACTTCATGTATACTGGTCACCTTCTGGGCTCGCTCAGGTCAGAGGTGGGATTTTGTAATTTGGACAGCTCCTCTTCATTTAAAACAAGCTTTCTGTATGCTGCAGAACAATCACTGTGTACCTTATTAAACCAGCACGTACATCAGGGGAAAGGTTGAGCATACAGCTCATTTTGAGCATTAAAACACCCCTTCCAAACAGACATCCAGTCTACAGCATTGGGTTTGCGTTGCTCTTTAATGACAAGAACTTGATTGACATGGCTTGGTTTTGTCTTTGTAAATAGTAGGTGTGTATTAATGACCATCTCAAAATCTAATCCAATACAAGGTATGGATAATGGCTGTGAAGCATATTAGCATTGTCATATGCTTTGTTCCGTGCTGTCTTTAATACGTTGTATTGAGACAGAGGGGAATAATTTCACACAGACTCATTTTATGTTCAAAGTGTAATGGGGGGAAGTGGGTCCTGAGGCTCTGAAAGGACATTTATGGTGGATTTGAGGTTTTCTTTCCTGTTGGTCCCACCTGCATCACAGTTATGGCTCGCTTTCTCATTGTCACTGCAGTCCTGTTGACTTATTTCTTAGCACACCTGTATGGGCAAAGGTCCATGTCCCAACTTTCTGCCCTGCTCTAAAAACTTTTTGTCACTCTGTTGTGCTCCTAAGAAGCCAAAGCTTGACTCTGAAGATTGGAATAGTTCTCACACCAATGATGGGGCTGAATATCTTCTTGCCTTTCAGCTTCATAGGTGAATAGCTGCTGACCTATGGGGAAAGGTAACATGGGGCAGGGGGAAAGAGGGTCATTGGAAATAAGGCCAGTCTCTCTCCCACCTTTGCACCCACCAAAAGAGAGCTGGTGAATTACCAGCCCATCTTCTTTGGCCTTCCAGCCACACTCAACTTACTTGTCCTTGTGGTGGGAATTTGATCTGATCTGATCTAACTGATGTGTAATTATCCCCCGAAAGACAGAATCTTGCATAGGTTGCAGGCAGTGAAACGATTTGGCAAGCCTTAGGCCCAAAATTGCCATTATTGACCCAGCAGAATTGCGAGTTTTAATAACTGGACGCTCCCATGAGCGTCTCTGTGCACCATTCCTCAGCCCGCTGCTGCGCTGTGCTATGGAGGCCGTTTCATTTTAGGGGGATTGTGAGTGTGTGTTGCTGCCAATTAGGGGGCTGAGCAATTCTCAAAATCTGAAATTGATTTTAACAAAAAGTGACACTTGGAGAAAGAATATTAGGTTAGGGCAGAACTGAAGATAATTTGATTTATAATTCATGCATTTAAAATGGATATTTTTTCCAGTGACACTTGTTTAAGTCATGTCTTTCTTAAAATGTAAAACGGAGTAGTCAGAATATAAAATCATGCCCCCAAACTACCCCATCTCAAATCTTTTTTATTCATTGTAATAGTTACTTAAATATAGAGAATTATATTTTGCTAAAACAATGTAATCTCTATCTAGAGCAAATAATATATGTATTGATGGTACTGAATCATTAAAGAATTTAATATAGTATAAAATACCAGCTGGTAACATGATTTGTTTTCTTCTTGAGAAGCTTTGCATGAGATCAACTATTCTTCACCCTGAGATTTATGGAAAGCCAAAACAGGAATGCCCCGCTTAAAAAGGTGTTCCATGGCTTCTGTTAAATTCTTAAAATATTACTCAAGGGGAAGAAGGAGCTCTTGAGGAACAATGACACCTAGTGGATGTGCAAAACTCACAACATGCAGGTGATATTGGAGTGGGAGGAATCGATCAAGGGTTAAATGCTCTCCTGGAAAAATTGGGGTCCACACGCTTGTAAATAATTGTGGTTAGCATCCTTTGTTTTAGTGAAAAAAGTTATCCCAAGAAAGGGGATAGATGGCTAGTTGGTGGAGGCTACTTGGCATGAGAGTCACTGGGGCAAGTGGAAGCCAGAGAGCTTTGGCTGATGGGTGGGATAGGAAATAAATAAACACCTCCTTCAGGTCCACACAACTTGTAATGAAAACCTGCGGCCCTTAGGCTAGAAGGGACTTCAGAGCTGGAAAGCGCCTTGGGGTTATTCCAGCCAGCCTCTGCCCGGTACAGGAATTTTGCTCCTAAACAGCCTCAACAGAGAAGGTCACCACCCTTTTTTCCAATGGAAGGAGATGGGCAAGAATGCAGCTTTTCTTTGCTTTGCTCCTGGAAAAGCTGTGATGGGGGAGTTTTCACCTGTTGAATATCTCCCTGCCATGCAGCTTACTTGAGGTACAGAAGCACCACTGTTTAAAGTGTTGCTGGCATCCACAGCTAAAGTGTCGATCAAAATACTTTCTAATAGTTTATCTGACCATATCATTTCAATGGGTCACTAAACATCAGTATGCCCTTTGATGTAGAAAGAATAAAACCTTTCTCTTTCGGGGGTTCAAACTCCAGTTCTGTTTTGTTTTAGTCCATCAGGTACAAGAGCAATCTGCACATGCACCAGAATCATGTAGTCTAGCTTTTCATGGTCTTGGACATTTCATACTTGAGTTTTGAGAACATGCTATTTGAATGCTCTGCTGGGAATGTTGGGTGAACTCTTCTTGCATAGGTTGGGTTTCTATATGTTAAGGACTTTTCTTTTTCTTTTCCCCATTGTCGAGCATCCAAGAGTGCTACATTAAGTACTTATGGAACACTCTTGGATGCGATACAATGGGGAAGAGAAACGTCCCCTGATGTATATAAATAATTAGATCATATGAAGTGTTATCAGTTCATCTGATGCTGACATTATGGGCTGAAGTGGCACCATGCCACCGAAAGCAATCCAAATGTTAGAGCACTTCAATTCAAATCTAATTTCTACGGGGGTTAAAGAATGAACCCCCCCTCCCCATGCATACACAACCGGGTTCTTTAAATCTCCATTCTTTACAGTCCTGACCCTCTGTAAAGTTCTCCCCTGAAAACCTCTCTAACATGTCCGCATTCCCCCGTATTTACAAAATATAGTGCATCTTCATAGTAATAAGAGTTGGAGTTCAATCTTACTACAATTTAAGCCCTACAGTTTAAGCCCTGCAGTTCTCAGGATATGCTGAGACTTTTAAGGCTTTTTCTGCCTGAATATGCATTGGATTGCACCAATAATATATTAAAGGTAATAAAACTTAAATGAAGCTCAATGTGGAAAGTGCCTGGTACGCGTAGAGCGTTCTGATCCCTTCTCTTCACTGTTGGGATGACCTCCCACAAAATATCAAAGCTAGTGAGCATGTCCTAGGCTTGCTGGCTTGTGAGACTTCCTCTGGATAAGTAATTTACTAACATTCTATGCAGGAATGATCCGTGGTAGCCATTTCACACATTCAGGTGAGAGGGACAGGAGGCATAGGAGAAGTACTTTGACTCCCCCTTACTTCA